AATACACAGAATGTATACTACGTGTACCTAGGTTATTATATTCTGTACCATAAACCTCAAAAAATGTTCGAGTAGGAAGGTATCCAGCCCTCCAAATCAATAGAAAGCTGCCTCCACATCCCTGTAGATATGGAACATGTTCTTACTGAATGACTGTTAAATACTGAACCCAAGGCTGGGATTGGGTCTGGCGTGTGTGTGTCTGTGAGGGAGGCAGAACCAATCTTGGCAATTCACCACTTCCCTCCCAGCACTCTGGGCTTCTCTGTTCCCCTCCCAACTTCTAACATTGTCCGCCTCAGTACACAGCCTCTTCCTCCCACGCAAAAACTCTCAGTCACAGGCAGGATGTACTGGGAGCTGTTTAACAACTGGCTCTCCAGAAAAGAACAGAAAGCTCTGATTTGCAGCATTTTCCAATTTCTAAGGCATAAACACTCCCATCGTGGCTGATTGTAAGTTACTGAACACGGAGTTGGGAGGCGGTATAAACTGGCTCCTGCTTACCACTGGGAATAAGTGGAAGAAAGGCAAGGGGGGACATAAATGGTGGAAAGACACTGTAGAGGGGTTTAAGACCTTCCCAGAAGTGAGGGAAGGGAAATCAGGGAAGTGATGACCTGGAGTCATTCCTTTAACTTTGGTTACTATGATTCGGAAACATCGGCATCTGCCTTTTCGTGTCAAATGGGACTCTGCAGAGGCTTGTCTTGCTTCTTTGGCTCCGTGTGGCATATTTGGCCATCTTATTCGATCTATACCCTCTTGGGTTCAATGTTCCTGAGAATGTCCTTATATTGTGGCATTTTTTTTTTTTTAGATGGAGTGTCGCTCTTTGTTGCCCAGGCTGGAGTGCAATGGCATGAACTCGGCATCCTCCACCTCCCGGGTTCAAGTGATTCTCCTGCTTCAGTCTCCTGAGTAGCTGGGATTACAGGCCTGCACCACCATGCCGGGCTAATTTTGTATTTTTAGTGGAGACAGGGTTTCTCCATGTTGGTCAGCTGGTCTCCAACTCCCGACCTCAGGTGATCCACCCGCCTCGGCCTCCCAAAGTGCTGGGATTACAGGCATGAGCCACTGCTCCCGGCCTATATTGTGGCTTTAAAAGAGTCAGAAACTCCGCTGGAGAAAAGGTTTTAGGACAGCAAGAGTGCGTTGTATTCTGTTTTGATAGAAACCTCTTCCATAAACATGGCCCTGGCATGCTCACACCCACCTTTCATGGGCACATCACATCCCTTCTTCCCTCCCTGAATGCTCCTGACCCCCGTCTGGCCTCCTCAGGTGTTACACACCCTTCTTCGCGGGCCACAATTCAAGCTCTCACCTGGTTTCCTTGGACATCATCTGAGAGCTACCTATCTGTCTTTCCTGAGAGAGCTCCAGCTGGCACAGAACTCCTTTGCCTGGGGATACTGGCAGATACATATCCAACTTGCCATAGGCAGTGGCAGGAAGCTTAGACCTGTCCTCCTGCCCACAAGCACTGCCTTGAAGGCTCACGCTGGCTCTCTGAGCGCCTGATCCAGTGGTCTGGGTCCTCTGGTCACCTCCCAAACTGCAGACCGTTGATTTCGTTTGCAGCTCTGGGCCAGCGGAACTCCCCTGTTCTCATCCTTACCAACAAAGCACACACTTGAATTTCCCATAACTGCTCTGGTTGCTTCACTTTTTACTTTTTCTTGAAAGCATCCAGGACCAGGAATCCAGCTTGGTACAGACAACCTAAATTAATGCTTCTTAGCCTGCACAAAAGAATAATTTTTTGTTATCTTCTCTTTGGTGTCTAATCTGATCCAAGGTGACTTGCAGGAAAGAAATGCTTCCACTAGCAAGTTAAAAGTGTTCATTTTTGCAATGCTAATAGTTGTTTGAAATGTAACAGCTTGTTTAGTCCTCTCCCTAGATGAATGTACCTTCATCTTTAGATTTATGATTTGGTTTTTATCTCTTCTGAAATAGAGACAGAGGTAGTGGAAGTTCCCTTATCTCTGCCTCTCAGAACTGGGGCCTCTTTTCTGAGTTTTTTCTTGTCTTCTAGACACCCAAAGCAGCCACTAGTTAGGTTTATTCTTCTTAAATCTCATTTTCTCTCCATATGTTTTCTTCTCTGAGCCCATAAACACATCGCCACTCTTCTTTCCAAAAGCTGGACCCCGTACATGATTTAGAACATTCTACATACTGACAGAGCACGCCAGGTGGCTCAGCTAACTCACCACAGCTTTTGTGTCTTTCCAGGTTAGGGAAGGCATTAGGGCCAGAGGTCAGCATGCCCATCCTGCCACCAGACAGCCCTGCTCCACCCACTGAGTGTTCTGTTTGCAGTGAAGGCCAAAGGTCTCTGGACTAAAAAAAAAAAATGCCTTTAATTCAAGCCTAAGTTATAAAAGAAAGAATTTCAGCTTCTGCTGTCAGGCCTGCGAGGCTGGCCAAGCCAGAGCATCCTTGACCTTTCTTTTTTCCTTCAGCCGTCCAATGAATTTGTGTCCAATTTGTCCTCCAATCCTCCACAGAGAGTTGCATTCTATGATGCCTCTGGTGATTTGGAAGGCGGCCGAGCTAGGCACAAAAATAGGAGCGCCTGAGGCGAGAGATTCTTCCAAGGTTCTTGGTTGTCAGAAAGATGAACATCACCAAATGGTTCTAAAAGAAGAGATGAAAGGGATTAACATTGTAAGTAGTTGTGAGATTAGACTGTCCAAGTCACTAGGCTCCAGATGAAGCAGGAGGCATAGCAGAGAAAATCCTGTGCTGGAATCGGTAGAATTATGAGCAAGGTTTTAGGGGATTCATCAGAGGAGGGCTAAGTTGAATGGGCACTAATGAGCTGATGACTCAAATCTAGGAATGAATAAGATCATAACGACCAAAGCTCTGTATGAAGGTGGGTGCTCTATCATTGTCACATCTACTAGAGACAGGCACTGGTCCCCAAGATGAGACTGACTGGCTGGCCCCTTACCGAGTGAACAAGTTATCAAATACTTAACTAAAATAAGAACTGTGAACATGCCCAGAAGGATTCTTAGCGCATGCACTTAAATCTGTTACTCTCCCTGTCTTTTATTAAGGCTCTTGTTTGGAGAAGGGATTGAACTAGATGTGGGCATGTCTTAAAAATGCTTACGAATCTCAAGCCTAGTATAACGTAAACACTCAGACAACCCTTTATTGTTTACAACATAGTAGGACTCATCCTGTCGTGGGGAGCTATGGCAGTGGCCTTGAAAAGAGTGGGTATTAGTACACAAATGTTCAGAATGTCCCACAGTGCTACGTAGTGCCCAGTTCATGGATGAGCTGCCACTCTGCTGGGACAGGCTTCATCTGTTTATTTCCAATGTATAAATGTTGGGTGTTCTCTTGGCCTTAAAAGGGGTTAGATGTACACAGGGCATTTATATTGTCATGAAATCAGTCTGAGAATGTTGGATGGGGCCATTAATGTATGAAATCAGGGAAATAGCTTTTCCCCCATCCTCTTCATCTCCAAGAATATCTTTCCGAGATATTCTCTATTGTTCTGCCCAGCGCAGTTAGGTCTTACTTAGTTTGCCTTATAAGGCCATTTTAGCATTTCAAGAGCTCTCCCCATAGGAAGCTTTTCCTGCTGTTCTGCCAGAGTTGCCTTCTGCTTAATTTTAGTCCATTATGTCTGTAAAGACAGGGAAGGTTTTGTGGGGCAAAAGGCCCAACCATGGTGGGAAGAATGAGTCATTCCAAGAGCAGTGAGATGGGCTGGGAGGAGAAGGCAGTGAAGGGGCAGGAAGTTGTGGGTGGAATGGGTTATTGAGAACAGCATCAAAACAGTCTGTCTTCTCTCTCTATTACTCCCACTAGGGGGTGCCCAGCATCCCAGAATAATCACTATTATTAGGAAGTTGAGGTTTGATGTGTCATCTCCTAATAGAAGGGCACTGGTTTCTCTCCCGGGGTTTTCTATATCTCTGCCCTGAGTTGAGAAGAGATCTCTTTGTGTGTATGTGTATGTGTGTGTGCGTGTTTGTGTGTATGTGCTCGTGTGTGGGGGGGTTAGAATCAGCAAGTGCACAAACACCTCTTAAGCATTCATTTAAAGATTCTCAATTTATGGAAATCCTTAGGGATACACTGAGTTCTCCAGGACCCAGTTGACTTGATCTTGAAGTCAGTGGCTGGAGTAGTTGAGGGCGAGAAACATCCTCCTCAGCCCAGGAGAAGTGGCGGCTGATGTATTTTAATCACTGGGATTCAAGAAGTTGTAGGGATAAGAAATGAGTGCAGCTGAGGGATCAGCTGGAGGTCAGGGATAGAGGAAAAACTGAGGGTGTGTGAGATGCTGAAGTAGAGTGGTGAACAGGTGTGCGATGGATGTCAGGGAGAGGTGAGGTATCTTGAGGGTTTCCAAACATCCACGCCTTCAGAACGGCCACAGCAAAACTTGCAGTTCTGAATCGTTTTGTGGAAAGAACATGGAACCTGGATCTTGGAAGTCATGAATTGAAATTTCAGTTTAAGCATTCTGTAGCCATGAGACCTGGGGGAACTGGGGTAAGTTATTTCACATCTTTGATCTTCAATTCTGTCATCTTCAGAAGGAGACTAATGATATGAGGGTTTAGTGAGAATTTAAAAAATAATCCATATAATGTACTACATAAATAGAATTTTCTTCCTTTCCCTTTCTCCTACTTGGAAATGGCTGAGAGCAAAGATGCAGTTCTTGCATCCCATGACCACAGAGTTCTAGGACTGCAGCCTTGGGCAAGAGGTTCCACCTTGGCTGCTGGAGTTTTCTGCAATGAAGAACTTCAGTGAGTGTTCAGAGCATGCCTGCAGGACCCTGGCCCTTCTGTTTGGACCAGCGCTCCAAATTTGCAGGCCTTTGGGCCATAATTTAGAACCTATTTCTAAATTTTTGAAGGTCTTCCATCTAGCCCTGAGGCCTTTAGTCTCAGAGAACTAAATTGTCTTACCAAGGGTAGATCATACAGACTGCCAAAGCCTGGCCTGGAATCCAGGTGCAATTTTCATCTGTGTTACCAGTTCCTCTATGGTAACCTGACAGTGACTCACAATTCCTTACAGCACAGTGTTCCAAAGTCTGAGCCACAGACCACCTGTCCTAGTAGCAGCAGGTGGGCTTGATAAAAATGCAGATTCCTGGTTCCCTGCCAGCCCTGTGCAATCAGATTCTGTAAAGTTTAAAAGTAATGATTTACAAATTTCCCAGACCTGGGTTATACTTTTATACAGAAACATAATGCCTGAATCTGACAGAGTGCTTTTTCGTGGAGGAAAGTTAGGACTCTTGGGCAGACTTCTTGTTGCTTTCATACTCTACAGGTGTTCCTGACCCTGGTATTTATACAGCCATCTCTGCCCTACCTACTTCCTTCCTTCCCCTGGAACTTCCTGAAGTGGTTAGGAACAATTGCTGTGAAGGTCACAGGAGACCATTTCTGTGAATGCCAGATGTGCTGGTGCAATTTGAAAAGGTCAATTTGATTGACGCCTGAGCCACAGTGATAACCCAAGGCAGCAGCCCTGTAACTGCTAGCTCTCAACAGTGGTGGCATCGGCAGCCTTGAGCAAAGAGACTGTTTAAACTGATGGAGGGGAAGCTTTAGTTCCTATTTCTGGGGGATCGAGTGGCCCCAGGAGAAAGGCTGATCACTAGTTGCAACTTCCTTTGTATTTACAATAGTGTTTGCTGTTAGTTTAGCTGTGTTTAGACTAAAGGTGGGGGCAACAATTACCCCTTTCTCTAAAGCTGTGAACTCTGACCTCTCGGTCTAGAGTGAGATGGACTCTGGACATGTGGACAGGCTCTACGAGATTCTTCCTGACAAGGGCTGTATGAGCTGACTTTTCAGAAGGAACTTGGTCATGATGGTGGATCACTATTCAGAGAGACACACTCTTTCTCAAAGCAATGACAGGGGCAGCAGGGACTACATTAAGTTTTGACAGGGTCCTGCAGCTGTTGGGGCAAAAGGGTCTGCCTTGGCCTCTGGGGGTCTCTGTACTGCAGAACTGCAGCGGATGTACAGGGATTGCTGGGGGCTGCAGAAGGATTTTGCAATATGCATTCATGTTAGCTTCAGAGTGCCCAAAATGAGCATGAAAACGCTGTCAGAAAGGCAGTTATTGCTACCTGAAGTCCCTGTTGGAGCAAAGTGCAAATTAAATACTGGTAAAAGAAAACAAAGCTGATCACTGTTATATAGCAAATGTCACTGTCCTGTGTACCTATTTGGTCTACGGGCTGACTCCAGGAGGTGGGAGGTGCGACTGCATGGAGCCATGTTCGGCCTCCTACCTTCAAGGCCGGCCGCATCTCTGAATGGGGAGCTGGTGAGAAAGAGCTCTCCTTGATAAAACATCATTTTTGCCCTTCCCAATCTAGTCTTTCCTTTTCTGTTTTCTAGGAACAAGAGGATTTATCTGACTCAACTGGAGATGGCTCCCTTCCCTAATTTATTGTTGCATCCTGAAGCTTCTCCCATGCTGAGCTCAGTGTGAACAAATAGCGCTGGAGGATGTAACCACTGCAGAGGTACAAGTTCACAGAGGCAGAGCTGCCCCTCGACTGGGCCGGAGGCAAAGACAAACCCCAACCTCTTTCTTGTCATTCATTGAATTTTGCTGAACCTGGAAAGGAAATAAATTCCAAAGGCAGGAAGTGACCCAGAGACCATAACAATATGTGAAAAGCTTAACCGGTGCTTCCGCCCCTTTGTTTCAAACTATTCTAATCTGTGTCCCAGGAAGCCTAGCCCATTGCCAGATGGAGATCTGTTTTCAGATGCCTCTTGGCATGTGCCATTCCCGGCTGGTGACATTTGCACATTTCAGAAGGCAAACCTGTCCCAATGTCTTCAAACTTCCAGAGAGGTGTAGCACCAGGAAAGTCCTTGGGTCTCTGGCTGACAGCACCAACCAGCTGATTTGCTTCATCTGCAGCTGAACTGCTGCTGGACTCCAGCCTAGAACACTAGCACACCGGGTCTGTTCTTGAAGATTTGCAGATTCTGAAATCAAAATGCCCTGTGTTGCCAGAAAAGGCTGGCTCCCTTGCCTGCTTCATAATCCCTTCTCACTAGGCTTTCCTAAAGAAACTCGATGAGTCAGGAAGGAAGAAAACATGTCTGAGGGAGATCTGGAGGTGGGCCGTTCTCTCTCATTGCTTCTGAAAATTCCCTTCTGTTTTGCAATGTGGGTAATGTTTAGGGATTTGCTTTTACTTTTTCTCTGTTTCTTCCTCTGTCAGCTCTCACTTTGAAAGACCCTTCATTTACAACTCATGAAATTAGCTCTGCAATTGCAGGAGGTTCTCTGATGGGGAATTAGTCACTTTTGCAAAAAAGTTTAGACTTTACTTTTATCCCCAGGAGCAGGGCAAGAAATTGTTCCCGCCCTGCTCTCAGAAGGAACCAACACTCAACTGCTCTGCTCTGGCTTGGGGGCCTGTACTTTTCCTAGGCTTTTAATTTTTACTACGCATCTTCCATCAGCCTTACTACTGAAGGCTGTATGCCAGCTGACGTCTATGCACAGCAAGGTGGCTTCTGGGACACCTGCTTCAAACAGGTACCCAGCTAACTGCTCCCCACCAAACCCCGCCAGGTAATTGGAAAGGAACTTGGAGTTGAGTGAATAATGTGCCTCTTTCAAAATATTAGGTAGATCAAAGTGTAAAGAATCCAATATATTTGTTGACAACTGGTTTATAGAAAAGCCCTGGCAAGAAAGAAGGGGGCGGTTCAGCATCAGGCTGGTGAAAATGAGGTCATGGGTAGGGTACCACTGTACGGCATTTAGGCATCAGACCTCTGTCCTAGGGTGCGAAGTCACGCTGTGCCACCGTCTAAAATTGTGTTCTGTTTATTATGAAAGAGGTTTTCAAAAAGTGTTTTGATAAGCTTGGATGTATCCCTGGAAAGGGAATATGGTCTCCATTACAAGACAGGAGCTTAATATCAGAGACAGGTTGTATCAATGTATGTAGCTGCTAGTAAATAGTAGATAAAAGAAGCTTCAGAAAGGTCGTGGGAGGAAGTCTTTTGTTGTTGTTAGGAAGGAACAATCTTGCAGGGATGTGAGAGATTTTTCTCTCGCTTTCTCCTTTCCTCCGCCTATGGAAAATCAACCAGGAGAAAGCTAGAAACACAACACAGAGAGAAGTAATTTCTCCAACTGTTGACACCAGTCAAACAAGATAAATAGTTCATATTCTGATGATGATGACAACAGTTATGATGAGGAGATATTGACCCAGAGGAAGAAAACAAAGGCTTTTGATTTCAAGCTGTGCGTAAGCCCCAAAGAACTGTTGTCAGAGTCACTTTTATGATCTAAGGGACTTTTGGCTACAATTATAAGAATTTAGGGTGAGTGAAATAAATATAATTGGTCAGATAAATCAGAATTAGATTAAGACATGATTGAAAATGTTAACCATTAGTGAGAAGTATACCAAATTATACGTATTATCGTGCTGCTTTTAGTCTTGATCTAATTATCTGTCAAAAAGTAGCATAGTTAAGAACTGTATTCTGATTTCAATATAATACAAAGCAAAATATTTTGTTATGCTCTCTTAGGCATATGTTTGAGATGTCTGGCCACTGGAGGTCATCTCGTCTACTATGTTCACTGCAGATAAAGAATGAAAAGAGAATGCACAACCTTGTGATTGCTAGCAGTGAAAGCTCAGAGTTGTGACATAACAGTAAGTGTTATATTCTGCATAACCTTAGGTTTAACAAAGGTTGTTACTAGACACTTAAAGAACATGCTTATATTTTGCACATGAGAAAGTGGAATTAAAAATGGGAAAAGAATAGAGTCATGACTCCCAAACTGTGTCCTAAGCACCCAAGACTTTGCAGCAAACTTAGAGGGGGGCTGTGGCACATTTTAAATATCAAGGAAGTATAGTGGCACTTGACATCTGTTGGATATCAACTGAACTATTAGCTCAAGGTAGTTCATTGTTCCAACATTAGATTGTGCTACATTTCTTTCAAAAATGTCCTGTCTTTGGGAAGCTGAGTTTTCAGCAGTTGTAAAATGCAAGTCCCCAGAGAAAATCAGTGTGGAATAGGAGGTGAAGGCACGTGTGTCCACATGGGTTCCAAGATTTGAGAAGATATTTGGTGCCCAATTGGCATATGCAACCCTTTTTCTTTTTTTTGGACGGAGTCTCACTCTGTTGCCGGGTTGGAGTGCAGTGGGGCGATCTCAGCTCCCTGCAACGTCTGCCTCCGGGGGTCAAGCGATTCTCCTGCCTCAGCCTCCCAAGTAGCTGGCACTACAGGTGCGTGCCACCATGCCCAGCTAATTTTTGTATTTTTAGTAGAGACAGGGTTTCACTATGTTGGCCAGGATGGTCTCAATCTCTTGACCTCGGGCATCCTTTTAAAAGTAACCGAGTATTTAAGAATGAAATAAATTTTTTTCTTTCGATTTATGTGTATTATTTTTTTCAAACAACTAAGTTGTTGGGACCTAACTACTGGATAAATGAAATGTTGGGTAAGTATTTCCTTTTGCCTAGGGACTCTGTGAAAAAATTACAGGGATACTAAAATGCTGTGACATGAGACAGTTTGGGAACTCTGAATTAGAGCAATACAAAGGTAGATTTTAATGGTTCAGGCTCGTTGGTCAGAATTAAAAAGTGGTTAGATCCTCCTCTTCCCACACCAGCCAGGACACTGCTCCCAGAATTTTTCCCTGTTCCCATGTGAAATAAGCAATCTTAGTGTGAATTTTTAAATTAATACAACCATTTGGTAGACTATTAAAAGTTATATGACACAAAGCTTCTCAAAATATCTCCAATGTAGAACTTTTTTTTTTTTAAATTTTTTAATCTGTCATGGACTAGATGATGGTTAATTTGATGCACCAACTTATCTGGACTACAGTGCCCAGATATTTGGTCAAATATTATTCCGAATATTTCTGTGAGGGTGGTTTTTGGATGAGATTCATGTTTAAATCAGTAGACTTTGAGTAAAGCTGATTATGATTCATATTGTGGATGGGCCTCATCTAATCAGTTGAAGGGCTTAAGAGAACAGAGACTGACCTCCTCTGAGCAAGAAGGAATTCTGTCAGTAGTCTGCCTTTGGACTCTGCATCTCTTCCCTGAATCTCCAGCCTGCTGGTCTACCCCATCCTATTTCTTTGGATTTTGGTTCCACAATTACATGAGCCAATTCCTTAAAATAAATCCCTATCTATACATATACACACACACATATCCTGTTGGCTCTGTTTCTCTGGAGAATCCTAATACAGACTGATGCTTTTAAAAAATGTGATAAAAATGAACTTCTAGGAAAAGAATCATATGCTTAAATATTTTAGAAATGTCAAATTGTTATAAAAGTTTCTAAATGCTTGCTTCCATTTTCTATATTTAGCTTTAGCTTGTCTATGATTGGTAATAAAGGGTTTGTGGAACACACTTTGAGTAGCACTGATCTCATAAAAATGGAAATATATGCATATACCTATCTATATTTATATCTATGTACATACATTTATTTACTTTTAACTTGAAACTAATTCTAAATTGATAGAAAAGTTGCAAAACTAGTACAGAGTATTCCCATATCTCACTTTCCTCAAGTTCCCCAGTTTTAATATCTGTATAACTATAGTATAATTTCCCAACTAAGAAACTTAACATTAGTATAATATTATTAACTAAACAAAAATCCTGCATTAATCTGTTCTCACATTGCTATAAAGAACTACCTGAGACTATGTATAAAGAAAAGAGGTTTAATTGACTCACAGTTCTGCAGGCTGTATAGGAAGCATGGCTGGCAAGGCCTCAGGAAACTTACAATCATGTCAGAAGGGAAAGGGGAAGCAGGCACGTCTTACATGACTGGAGAAGGGGGGAAGAAAGAGTGAAGGGGGAGGTGCTACACACTTTTAAACAACCAGATCTTGTGAGAACTCACTCACTATTATGAGAATGGCAAGGGGGAAGTCTGTCTCCATGATCTAATCACCCTTCCACAAGGTTCCTCCTCCAACATCGGGATGACAATTCAACATGAGATTTGGGTGAGGACTCAAATCCAAACCATATCATTCCATCCCTGTCACTCCCAAATCTCATGTCTTTCTCACATTTCAAAACACAATCATCCCTTCTCAACAGTCCCCCCAAATCTTAACTAATTTCAGCATTAAGTCAAAAGTCCACAGCCCAAAGTCTCATCTGAGACAAGGCAAGTCCTTTTTGTCCATGAGCTTGTAAAATAAAAAAATAAGTTAGTTACTTCCAAGATACAATGGGGGTATAGGCATTGAGTAAACACACCCATTCCAAAAGAACTCAGCCAAAACAAAGGGGCTACAGGCCCCATGCAAGTCCAAAACCCAGCAGGGCAGTTATTAAATCTTAAAACTCCAAAATGATCTCCTTTGACTCCATGTCTCATATCCATGCCACACTGATACAAGGGGTTAGCTCCCAAGGGTGAGCTCCCAAGGCCTTGGGCAGCTCCGCCCCTGTGGCTCTGCAGGATACAACCCCTTTGTCTGCTTTCATGGGTTGTCATTGAGTGCTTGTGGGTTTTCCAGGCACATGGTGCAAGCTGTTGGTAGATCTACCATTCTGGGATCTGGAGGACAATGATCTTCTTTTCACAGCTCCAGTAGGCAGTTCCCCAGTGGGCACTCTGTGTCAGGGCTCCAACCCTATATTTCCCCCCTTACTGCTCTAGTAGAGATTCTTCATGAGGGTTCTGCCCCTGTAACAGACCTCTGCCTGGACATCCAGGTGTTTCCATACATCCTCTGAAATCTAGGCAGAGGCTTCCAAGCCTCAACTCTCACCCTCTGTGCACCCGCAGGTTTAATACCACATGAAAGCCGCCTAGGCTTATGGCTTGTACCTTCTGGAGCAGTGGTCGGAGACATATCTGGGGCCCTTTTAGCCATGGCTGGAGCTGGAGTGGCTGGGACACATGGAGCAGTGTCCCAAGGTTGCTCAGGGTTTGAGCTGGCTTGAATTCCTACCAAGAAAAAGTGGGTTTTTCTTTTCCACCACGTGGCTGGGCTGCAAATTTTCCAAACTTTTATGCTCTGCTTCCCTTTTAAATATAAATTCCACCAACTTCTTCGCTAATGTGTAACAAAAGTGTCCTTTGCTCCAATTCCCAATAGGTTCCTCATCTGCAGCTGAGACGACCTCAGCCAGGACTTTATTGTTCATATCACTATCAGCATTTTGGTCACAACAATTCAACAAGTCTCTAGGACGTTCCAAACTTTCCCTCTTCTTCCAGTCTTCATCTGAGCCCTCCAAACTGTTCCAACCTCTGCCCATTACCCAGTTCCAAAATCACTTCCACATTTTCAGGGATCTTTATAGTAATATCCCACTCTTGGTACCATTTTTCTGTATTAGTCCATTCTTGCGTTGCTATAAAGAACTACCTGAGACTGGGTAAAGAAGCTTAATTGACTCACAGTTCTGCAGGGTGTACAGGAAGCATGGCTGTTGATGCCTTGAGAAACCTTCAATCATGGCAGAAGGTGAAGGGGAAGGAGGCACATCTTACATGGCTGGAGAAGGAGGAAGAGAGAACAAAATGGGGAATGCTACAAACTTTTAAACAACCAGATCTTGTGAGCACTCATTCACTATCATAAGAACAGCAAGGGGGAAGTCTGCCTCCATTGATCCAGTTACCTCCCACCAAGCCCCTCTTCCAACACTGGGGATTACAATCCAATGTGAGATTTGGGTGAGGACATAAATCCAAATCAGATCAGGCCATATTCAGATTTCACCAGATATGTCTTAAATAGTGAAATCACAGCTCTAGGATGTGCAAATTTGGTAGGCACTGGGCTAGAAGATTGTTGCAGAATGAGTTGAACCACTGGTTTGTTTTATTTGTAGATCAGTTAGCTGAGAACTAGAAATGTTTGTCAGTAATTGTGAACTGTTCTGTAGAAGAAAATATAAATCATCAACCTCAATTAAAAACATCTCACACATATTGACTGAGCCGATACCATAGCTACTAAACATGCCTGTTATTACTGCCAGAAATAACAAATTATTTTGTATCTGGACACATTACTCCCTTAATGACAGACTGTATAGAAAAGTGATGCTTGGACATGTATCTGAAATATCATGCATTTTTGGCCAAGTCATTCTTTCTCATCTCTTCTGTGCAGTTTGAGCTTCCACAGGTTGAACCCAGCTGTGGCTTTTTGGGCCCTTTCTGTAATGACTATGCAGATTTCTAACATGTACCTATAACACTTTATTGCTATAACTGGTGTGGGTGCCTGCTAAACTATGAGGAACTCATGGGCCTGGCTCTGTCTTATTTGCCCTGGTATCGCAGTGCCTGGCATAATGCCTTAGGCATAGCAGGCAGGAGCACATGCTCAATGAAGAAATGAATGAATACATTTAACATATGGTAAGTTCACATTTTTTTTTTTCCTACTTGATCTCATTGGGAAAAGAGCCTATAACTTAAAATTATTCCAGTGAATAAAACAATGTTGGGTGTATATTAAAGAGGAAAAGTTTTCAAGGGCTTTGTGTTTGAGAAACAGGCTTTGAATGCCAGGTGTGACTTAACAGCTGAATGAAGACTATCACTTTTACAAATAGCATACATGTATGGGTGCTGACTCACTTTATTCAGTAGACACAACGTACTCCTTAGGTAATTT